CCCCTTCCGACCCCCAAGAACGCCCATCTCCTCGAAAGCCCTGGCTGCTGAAGCCGAAGGTGCAGTGTTCGGAGCAGGTGGGCACCCCAGCCGGCGTGATTATCTTGTGCGTCGTAGAGGAATGATCCTGGCCAGAGTTCAGATAGAAGCACCGCTCCCTCTTGCTGTGCATCTTGGACGGGCGGTGACGGTGACGGAAGCCGGGCATCATGAACGGCAAAAGCACTCGGATCCTCCTCCTGCCGTACAACTTAATTTCCGGGCACCGCTTGTCTTCCTTGCTCACCTCCGCTGCGATGGCCAGAGGGTCGTTCATCCACGCGAAGGTCTCGGGCCAGATGGCCCGGAAGGACAGCGCCTTGGTCGGGAACGTAACTCCGGGGAAAAGCTTCGGGAACTCCAGAAACGCAGCCTTGCCCCCCTCCATTACTAGTGCAATCCTCCGCTCTACACGACCGTTGCTCTTGGGCCCGCCGACCGCCGTGAGCTCCCGCGTAACGTTCAGCTCCGCCNCCGTGAGTAGCCAAGAGCGATTTGATGAAGGCATACCACGCACGAAAGGTCGCCACCACGTTTGTGCCGCTCTTCTCCCGCAGAAAGCAAATCAATCAGTAGTTGGTATGGTGGTCCAGGATCTGCATCACGTACTTGGCACCGCCGCTGGATTGGCCGAACGGACCGGCTAGGTCCATCGCGACACGCTCAAGAGGCCGCGTCGTCCGGCGGGAGGGGGAGATGACCTTGGGGACCGAGCGCTGAATCGCCTTCGACTCCGCACATCCATCGCAGTACTCCGGAGTGCCGGTCACCTTGATACCCATCTGCTTGGCAGTCTCGTACAGCGTCTTGGAATTGGCATGACCGAGGGAGCAGTGAAGAGCGTTGTAGTCGATGCTGGATTGCGTGCCAGGCCGTAGCATCGCCGCAACCATCGCGGGGGGCTGAGGAGGTGAGTTGCGTTGAGGCAGTGGATCAACGCGAGTTCCCTGGATGTAATGCCCGTGAGGGAATTTCGTCATGCGCAACCCGCCCCCCCAAGATCGACGCTCCATGCCGGTTAAGCTTGATCTCATGGCGATCCTGGATCTTGTTCAGCGACAGAATATCTAGCGCCAAACCCGGTACCACACCAACATTCTGCAGGGTGACGCGCACGTCCTCAGGGCAGTGGAAGATCACATCCACGTCACAAAAAAACTCTACCGGGATGTGCTTGCCGTCGCCACGCATGAGTAGTCGCTCCTCCGGGAGCGGCGGGCGCCTGTTGTACACCTTTTCCCCATAAGGGACCACGTGGACTACGGCGCCGATGTCTCCAAGGAAGACCGTCGAACTCGGGCGATGTGGGAAAAGGTCGGATGTTTCGCGCATGGGGGGGGATGAGGTAACGGAACAGACAAGGTGCACCGCGAAGAGACCGCCACTGAAGGTACCCTCGCCGTCGCCGAGCGCCTCAGGGCCCGCTCCCGCCGCGTCACCACCACCGTTGCCGCCGCCATTTTCACCTTCCACGCCGCCGCCGCCGTGGAAAATGTCGACAAAATCTAAGTAGGGCTCGCCCGGTGTCACGACCTGCTGCTGTACGACCACCCCACCGCCACCACCGCCATCGGCACCACCATCGGCACCGCCGCTGCCGCCACCGCCAGCACCAGCACCACCGTTGCCTCCGCCACCAGTGCTGGTCAGCATGGTGTCACCGTAGTATACGCCATCGGCCGCCGGGACATCACGAAATTGGACGGCCGATTATCCGCGGTGGTGTACGCGTACTCCCGACCGAGGGCACCAGCAGAAGTGACGACGTTGAGGTGAGNGTACCCTCGCCGTCGCCGAGCGCCTCAGGGCCCGCTCCCGCCGCGTCACCACCACCGTTGCCGCCGCCATTTTCACCTTCCACGCCGCCGCCGCCGTGGAAAATGTCGACAAAATCTAAGTAGGGCTCGCCCGGTGTCACGACCTGCTGCTGTACGACCACCCCACCGCCACCACCGCCATCGGCACCACCATCGGCACCGCCGCTGCCGCCACCGCCAGCACCAGCACCACCGTTGCCTCCGCCACCAGTGCTGGTCAGCATGGTGTCACCGTAGTATACGCCATCGGCCGCCGGGACATCACGAAATTGGACGGCCGATTATCCGCGGTGGTGTACGCGTACTCCCGACCGAGGGCACCAGCAGAAGTGACGACGTTGAGGTGAGGGTGCCGGTTGCTCTTGGCACAGTTGCGCCACATGTGACCGTACTGGCCGCATGCACCGCACGTGCCCTCGAATCTGCGGGGGGCGGCGCAATCTGTGCCGTGGTGACCGTGCTTTCCACAGCGGCAGCATCTGTGTACTGTGCCCATCGGCGCGCCAGGTGGAGGTGGTGATTCCGGCTGATGAATACACGGCGTTTCCACCGCAATCGTAGATGCCACCAACACCGTTCATGGCGGGCTGTTGCTGCTGCCGCTGCTGCTGCGGCTGCCGGTACGGCTGCATCTGCGTCTGCTGTTGGTACGTCTGTTGCTGTCGCATCTGCTGTTGCGGCTGTTGGTACGACTGTTGCATCTGCACCTGCTGCTGCGGCTGTTGGTACGGCTGTTGCATCTGCCGCTGCGACTGTTGCGGCTGCCGGTACTGCTACACCTGCAACTGCGGCTGTTGCGGCTGGACAGCACCGCCCCCAGAGGACCAGTGTTGCCCGCAGCCGTCGCCGTTGTTGCCATTCCGCCGTTGGCCTCCGCCGCCCCCGCTCCCCCCGTTGCCGCCGTGTCCGAAACCACGGCCCCCAACGAGAGCATGTGGGTTGGCAGAAACCGCCGGCGTCGCAGCTGCCGACCCTCGCTCCCTCAACTCGCTGGCATTGAGCGTGGCATTTCGACCACGCACGACGTCCTGCAACTCAGCACGGGTTAAATCACCCTTGGAAAGACTGGTGCGCTTCTCGACATCGTAGCGTACGGGGAGTTGGCGCACAAGGGTCTGCACAACTTCCTGCTCACACTTGGCAATGCCCACAGCCCGCAACTTGGTCTCCAGTTGTGCGACGCGCGAGAAGAACAGATTGGGGTCCTCATCATCATTCATGGTTACATTGTCTAGCTCGGCGACGAGAGGCTGACAATCAGCTGGGTGGGGGGGGGCGTATTCTTGTGTTTTGCATGCCTTAGCGGTTAGACCATTGACCACGCGTCCTCGAGAGGACGGAGCATTGTTCCCACAGGACCGATCACCGATGGCCAATTGTTCCTTTCTACTTTGCCAAAGGTGGCTCAAAAATGTCTTCCCTAGTCTGTCAATCCGAACGATATCCCGCCTTTTCAACCCACTTCCGATGCCCCAGTACAGCTACCGTCCTTTCCTCTCTATTCCATGCCTCAAACATCTCCCTGTACGTCCCATCTATTTTTCCCAGCTTATTCACGTACACTTCCCTCTCCTTCTTGTACAACGGACACTCCGGGACTGCATGAACACGGTCTTCGCATCGAAGCCGCAATCACATTTGAACTCGTCGTCTTCGTCGTCTACCGTCCTATGTCTTCGTCGACGTTCTCGAAGGCCTATGTCCCCGATTCTGAATTTGACCTTAAGCTTTGTTCCTGCATCCATTGGTCCATGTAGGTAATCCTGGAACCCTATATCTTCCTTCAACATTCCGTACACTTCTAGACCCTCCTTATCCTTGGTTTATTTCTTTAGATTCTGTTCTTTTCTCTCGGCACAAGCAACAGACATCTTCTCCTTGAACCCCTGTATACCCTCCGTTTCTAGCGTTTCATCTTAGTCGATGTCGAGCCCCTTCCATACGTCCT